AGGGGGGGGGGGGGGGGGGAGCGCCTCCTCTCAGCAGCAATTCAACAGCTCAGCTGTCCCGTTCCTACTCCGAGCAGAGACTCAGCAGTGTAGCTCCCCCTAATCACCAGTGACTTAGCAGCTCAGGTCCCCCTAATCCACCCTCCCAACAGTGACTCAGCAGCTCAGCTTCCCCTTCTACCCCTCCCAGCAGTAACTCAGCAATTCAGCCCCCCTCCCTGAAGTGACTCAGTTGCTCAGCTCCCCCTCCCAGCACTGACTCAGCAGCTGAGTTTCCCCTGCTCCCCTTCTAGCAGTAACTCAGCAATTCAGCCCCCGACCATGAACTGACTCAGCAGCTGAGTTTCCCCTGTTCCCCTTCCTAGCAGTAACTCAGCAATTCAGCCCCCGACCATGAACTGACTCAGCAGCTGAGTTTCCCCTGCTCCCCCTCCTAGCAGTAACTCAGCAGCCTTCTAATCTCTAATGTAAACACAAGGTAAGATGAGCTGCTATCAGATTGTCTGCTGTTACCTTTGTGGATCTATTGCTCCACAGCACCTACAGTTACAATGCTCAGTGAGAGTTTGCATTAAAGCTCATTTACTGATTGTTAAGAATATCTAAATACTTGAATGTCCATATCCTGGCCAGAGGTTCAATTTCAGGTTTTCCCGTTAAAATACTGAAAAAACAAATATAGAAAGATAAATAGATCAATAACTTCCACTTAGTGGTTTTACTACCTGGAACAAAAGCTTCTGAAAACTCAGGAACATTCCAGCTGTGCCCCATAAAACGCTGCCAATGAACATTTTATGTGGTAATATCTGCTGACAGAGGGCTTTAGGCAGCGAAGTGCCATGCTGTCCCCTGTGGCAGTAACATAATTTAATGTGGCTCTCCAATCAAGACAGCACATTTCATTACGAGTGACACTTAAAAGAACTCCAATGCAGTGCAATGCCGGAAGCAAAACAAGTGAAGACGACACGGGCTTGATTTTTTTTTCTTTTTCTCTCCCTTTGGTATACCTAAGGCCTGGTATTTAAAACCCCAATTCCCCAAAAGTTGGTACACGGTGTAAAATCTAAATAAAAAACAGAATGCAACGATTTGCAAATCTCATAAACCTGTATTTTATTCACAATAGAAAACACATCAAATGTTTAATCTGCGAAAATTGACCATTTTAAGAAAAAATAAGGTCATTTTGAGATTGATGGCAGCAACATGTCTCAAAAAATTTGGGACAGGGCCCTGTCCCACACGCAGTGTAGCATCCCCTTTTTATTTAACAATACTCTGTAAACGTCTGGGACCTGTGGAGACCAGTTGCTGGAGTTTTGGGAAAGGAATCTTGTCTCATTCTTGTCTGATATAAGATTCTAACTGCTCAACGGACCTGGGTCTTCTTTGTAGTATTTTTTGTTTCAAGATGCGCCAAATATTTTCAATTGGTAAAAGGTCTGGACTGCAGGCACGCCAGTTAATCGCCTGGACTCTTCTACTGCGAAGCCATGCTGGTTTCATAGATGCAGTATGTGGTTTAGCATTGCCCTGCTGAAATATACAAGGTCTTCCCTGAAAAAATATACTGGCTAGCTAACGAAGTTATAATGAAGACTAAAGGGCTGTGGCAGCCGTGGCAGCCGTGGCCACAGCCCTATCCATTGCCCGGCTCCTGCCCGATTTGATCCCTCTCCATCTCACCATTTGATTCGACTTTCGGCATCTGTCAGCTGCTTCCGTACACTGTCCCCAGCAGACCTGACAGTGACCGCCCGCTGACACATACATCTGTGGCTGCTACAGCCCTGTCCATTGCCCGCTGTCCATTGCCGACACCACAGCGATCTCCCTGCCTCTCCTCCACACCGCACAGACCCCCAACGGCACTTCGGACGAAGTCCCCTCTTCTTGTCTACACTCTCCTGTGGATGTACCTCTCGGATCAGCACATCGACTACAGCCGGAACCACACCACGAGTGCCCCGATCCTCCATACCGGCCGTCCATCTCCAGATCCTGGCAATCACGCCTAAGTGCCACCACCTTTAGTCTTCATTATAACTTTGTTAGCTAGCCAGTGTTCTCTGCGCCCTTTCTTGGTTTCTTGATCATTTGCATTCACAGGTTCTCCTCCTGTTTCCCAGGGCTGCATACACGCCTCCAAGCTAACTCTTTGCCCATCCGAGAGCGCTGTTTATATGTTTTTTCCTGAAAAAATATACAAGGTCTTCCCTGAAAGATAGATCTGCTCTAAAACCTGGATCTATCTTTCAGCATTGATGGAGCCTTTCCAGATGTGCAAGCTGCCCATTCTATAAGCACTAATGCACCCCCATACCCTCAGATGCAGGCTTTTAAACTGGCGCTGATAACTCTTTAATTCGGAGGATGCGGCACCCATGATTGCCAAAAAGAATGTCAAATTTTGATTTGTCTGACCACAGAACAGGTTTTCCCTTTGCAACAGATTTATTTTCGTTTTTGATCATATATACACTTTTGAAGGTCCTTTAGTTCTGGTGAGTTTACTTAAACCAAGGACTATTTCTTCACATGGTAGGGTGGATGACAAACGTTTATTGGAATTGAAGCACTCATGTTGATGGATAACGCACAGAAGAAAAACACAGTTTATTATTGCTTTTGGTGAACTGTTGCTATGGGCTACGACATTTATACTATGGTTTATTTTTAATTTTATTGAATGTATTGAACTTCATTTATGTCGATAAGTGATGCACTTTTAAATTAAATTTAGCTCTGTGCATATTCCTTTTCTATACCAAGGAAAGTTAAGCATGCATCGGGTCGTGAGTCCTAGGTTAGATTGGCTTAGGGGACTGGGCAGAGGCCTGGGGGGGGTTAAAGAGAAAGTGTAGTGTTCATTTAAACAGTTAGGGGTTCATTTATAAAAGTTCTGCCATGCATATAGCATGGCACTAGCACTCCTAGATGGTGCTGACAGGTATAGGATACTCATCAGTGCCATCTAGGTGTGCTAGTGACGTGTGAATGAACTTTTATAAATAAACCCCTTAAAGACTTTAAACCTGGTGAACCCTTTAATATTCCAGTAAAAGAAAATGTGGAGAAAGGCAGAAAGTTTACATTTGCACACTTGCTTGGTTGGCTTGAATATATGAAAGGAACTAAGCTGTTGAGAAAGTCCACTTTTTTGTAAACACACAGCTCATCAAACCGTCATTATGATCCATTAGTCTACTCACTTTATTTCTTTAAAGAATATATGAATACAAGAAAACAAGAGATACCTACACAGATGATTAGTCCAGAAATGACACATGCAGGGTTAACTCCGGGGCATTCTAACCTGCTTTTTAAATCTCTGTAATAATGTCCCTGTAATAATTACTTTGTCTTCCACTTGTTAAGATTTTTAAATTGGTTTTCTTGTTTTCAATTAACCTTTTTTCCATTTTGTATTTGGTTTTTACCTTTTATGTGATTTTACCTGCAAGGTATGAAACGGAGCCCAAGCAGACACAACTGCAATGCCAGCATTCCAATAAGTTAGTGTTATGCTGCCTGGACAATGTTGCCTGCTGCCTACACTGCCTGGATAATGCAAATTACTAGACGTGGGACATTATAAAAATGTAACCAAGGGACTTTTAAAGTTTAATGTAGCAGTTTAAATATCACTCAGATCTCTTTGCAATTAAAAGTATATTTGTACTCTTTTACGCTTTAATAATAGTAGGGATGTACTGATAAAGTTTTTTCGGTATCGAGTATGAGTACCGATTTTTTTTTCCAGTACTCGCCGATACCGAATACCGGTAGTCCCATTAAGGAAGCCAGGCAGCGGGTAATGATTTGCCACCCGGCTTCCCGACTAGCAGGGACGCTGTCTCCATGCTCCCTCATCACCAGGTGACGAGGAAGCATGGAGCCAGCTTTTTGGCCAATCGGGAAGCCGGGGGGGTGGGTAATAACTCGCCGTCTGGCTTCCTGATTGGCCAGCTTCTCGACCAATCAAGAAGCCGGGTAACAAGTCATTACACAGCGCCGGATTCCTGATTAGCCAGGAAGCTGGCTCCATGCTCCCTTGTTACCAGGTCACCAGCATGGAGCCGGCTTCCCGGCTCACTTCCTGGCTTCCTGATATCAGGTATCAGGCTAGGCATCAGAGCATTTGGGGGCGAGTATGAGTACTCATCCATATACTCGGTATCGGTACATCCCGAAATTAATAGTCATGTTAAAAAGTGTTGATATTTTCAACATATCTAAACACACAAACATTAGATTTTTTATTTGAACAGTGTCTACAGATAAATGTGATATACCCGAATAAGAATTCAAGATAAATTTGCCTTTTCAACAATGTATTCAACAAAAATATCAACTTATGTAATTCTGTGAAAAAAAAAGTAGATCACTGGCATCAGAAGCAGTTATTGCTCCCTGTTTCCTTGAATTCACTTTGTTTCAAAATTCCCCCCTAAAAAAACTTCAATGGGAATCAAATCAAGGCTTTGACTAGGCCAGTCTACAACCCTCTATTACTTCTTTTTGAGCCATTCCTTAGTGGATCTACTAGTGTGCTTCAGATCATTATTGTATTATTATTATACAGGATATATATTGCACCAACCGTTTGTGGAGCACTATACAAAATAAAGAAGACATTACAGTTATAATACAAAGCAAGACAAGATGGAAAGAAGGGCCCTGCCCACAAAAGCTTACAATCTAAAAGAGAGAAGCAAGTAATACAAAAGGTAGTAGCTTTTGAAAGACATTTGGTTAGATGGCCTCACATTGTCATTTAGCACTTTGATACGATGCAGAATGTAACCGGACTTGTTGACTGGCAGCTGCCCAGTCCGTACAGCAGCAAAACAACCCCAAACCATAACATTTCCCCCACCTGCTTCAAAGTTGTTATGAGGGTCTTCTCCTGTAAATGCTGTGAATTTGGGGCAAACACACCTACTGTTACTGTGCCCAAACAACTTTATCTTTGATTGATCAGTCTTCAGCACATTGTTCCAGAAGACGTGGTCTTTGCATACATGTTCAATGGCAAACTGTAATCTGTGTTCTTTTTGAAAAGCAAAAGTTTTTTTCAACACACCACTTCTGTGGTTTGGTTTGGTGCAATCTCTTTCTGTTTGTAGATTACAGACACTTTGACCCAAACTGTTGCAAGCATTGCCTGAATACCCAGTGATAACATTTTGTGGTCCTTGGAGACTTCTTTTAGCATCAGACAGTCAGCTCTTGGGTTGAATTTGCTAAGATGGCCAGTCCCAGACAAATGTTCAGTAGTTTGAAATCTAGGCCATTTCTAGACTTTTTCCTTACAGTGGACTGACATTTCAAATCTTTTTAAATCCCTTGCCAGACTCATAGGCATCCACAACTTTCTTTCTGCAGGTCTTAGAGAGCTCTGTTGATCTCGGCATGATGACCCCACACATGTGAATGGCGAAGAGAACACCAGACCGTAGATGTCTAAGGTTTAAAAAAGACATGTTTTACCTGCACACTCCCTAAAGAGGCTCTAATCATTGGCACCTAATCTGGAACACCAAATTCTAATTTCATGGATTTTAGGTGGTGTGAAAACAGAACTCTGGGAATTTTTTTTATTAACGCTTGCAGTGGGGCTACTCCTGCACGGCAAGGGTTAACTGCTCGTTTGTCTCCAGGTTTAAAAAAAACAAAGAATTACTCTCCCAAAGCTCCTAGACAGCTTCTTCTTAGACCGGTCTCTGGAATGTCTCTCTTATTTCTCTGAAGCAGTCTAAGGTCCAGTAAATCATCACGGCTATTCACTGGAATCTTCCTCTGCATCCTCAGTCTATGCACAATCTGCTGTGGAGGAGGAGACAGGCTGGTAGGATTGCTGTTTGGTACTTTGGGTGAGTATATCCTTGTTATTTTAGCACCTAGACACAAATGAGCAGTTAACCATTGCAGTTGGGGGGGGGGGGGGGGGGGGG